TTTACAGAAAATTGTTACAAGGGTTTTATGATGAGAGAGAGACACAAAAAGTGAATGTATAAATGCTAGCTCTATAACCAGTGTGAGTGCTCCATTTCGAGAGGAAAACAGAGAGGAGGAGAGAAGAGGAGTTGCTGGAAAGGTCACTTGGGATGGTAAGAAGAATCATCTGAAGTACTCTACAGAATTTCTAGATTTTGTAATTACTGCTGCTAATTCATCAGAAACACGCTTCTAACTCGATAAAGGCTTGCTTGAAAATCCCCAGCATAAAGAAGCTACCAGAAATAGCAACAGATCCCAGAGGGTGCATCCTGGGGAAGCAGAAGGCGCTGAGCTCCGGGAGAGAGGCAGCGACATGCAGAGCCAAATAGGAGCAGCCTACGACCCAGCACGCCCTGGAGAGCCCGGGCAGCTGGGGAAGCTGCGGGTGCACTTGGAGACTTGCCACTGAGAAAATGCTTTAGACCTGCTGGGGAACTTAAGAGAGGAAAAACTGGGGACATCTTTGCACACCAGCTGTGTCCTGCCACACGTATGGGCTGTGGGTGCGCCGCCCTCCAGTCCAGATTGGTGGATCTGAGGATACAAAGCTCATTTTTCTGTGACGAGGTACTACTGTTATTTACCAGTGCCAGGAGCAGCTCTGTGCCATGGTTACATCCAAACCCTGGAGAGGGATCTCCTATAGCCAGCTATCTGCAAAACGCAGTGCGAGCTAACCACTGCATAACTCCCTGACATCTCCATGTGGGTATAGTGACAAACCTCACATCTTTATTTTAGTGCTAGAAAAAAAATACTAAAAAAAAGATAAAAAATCTCACAGTTACGTCTTTCACAAGTAACACAGAAACAAGAACTTCCCTCTAATGAAAAGTAACAAGCACTGAATAAAGAGACAGGAAAATGACAGAGTCTGTAACCTCATTATAGATATATTTTGCATTAGCAGCTACAATTTAACTCAATTTAATCAATTCTAGAAGGCAGTAGCTCTGGTGTAAAACAGAAGATCCCAAATTAACCTTTTTTTCTTCTTCTTTTTTTTTTTTTAATTCGAGGGGTGGGGTGGGGAGGTAACACCAAAAAAGTCTTCTACAGTGACTCAAACTGACAGATTTGAGCAACCTACAAATAACTGAAGTAATTAAATGGCATTAAAACAACACAGTGTGTTGGCTAAATTATTTCAAAGCTGTTCAACAAGTTGTGCCTTTGGCTTTATACTCACATGTGTGGATTTTGGAAAGGAACTCCAGAAGTGTTTAGAGTAAATCTTGCTGTGGACTTGAAAGGTGGATTTGCAAAATTTAACTTCAGCGCTTTGCGTTTACCTGGGAGACAACGAACATAAAGTAAACTTTTTGTCAGCAACAAAATATTAAGAGCATCTGGAAATAAGCAGGAAAATATAAACATATTGTAAGAAAAGGAAAACTCATTTCTCAACAACATCAGCAAATCATAGCTTGTGTTAGGGGCCCAGGGATGGAGAAATGAGTCAGCTCTCATCCCAAGGCCTTCCCCCACCTCGTTCCAAGTCAATCGCCAAAGAGAGGCATCCAAAGTGGGGTGTGGGGCACCTCCACAGCAGGGCCCTGAGCTTCCCCCAGGCACGACCACTCCTTTAAGCAGATCCGTGCTGGCAGGCTCAACTTCAGCCACGGTGGCCAAGGGGTCCAACCTGCTCTGCGCAGCCCAGAGCACCTGGGGCGGACGGCACTGGGGAGGGGAAAGCGCACCTCTAGATGTCTTTATGCAACAACCCAACCCTAGGAGGGCTGATGGGGTTCCTGACCCTCCTCGGCCTAACAGCAAATGGAGATAACCAGCCTTGAGCAAGGATGGATGAGATCTGCTGTGCGCTCCTTCTGCCATATGGGTCAGCGCAAAGTTCAGCCCATCGGAGGGGTGACTAGGTGAGAGAAAGCTTTGCTCTGCAGCCAGCTGAGAACTTTCTTTTTCCCCGTGCTTTCTCATAGAGCCATAGAATCGTTTAGGTTGGAAAAGCCCTTTAAGATCATCAAGTCCAGCCGTTACCCTAACCCTGACATCCCACCACTAAACCCTGGCCCTAAGCACCTCATCTGCCTGGTTTTTAAATACCCCCAGGGGTGGGGACTTGACCCCTTCCCTGGGCAGCCCCTTCCAGTGCTTGACAGCCCTTTTGGGGAAGGAATTTTTCCCAGTGTCCAACCTAAACCTGCCCTGGCACAACTTGAGGCCGTTTACCCTCATCCCATCGCCTGTTCCCTGGGAGCAGAGCCCGACCCCCCCTGGCTCCCCCCTTCTGTCAGGCAGTTATAGGGAGCAATAACAGCTCCCCTCAGCCTCTTCTTCTCCAGGCTGAACACCCCCAGCTCCCCCAGCCTCTCCCCAGAGGCCTTGGGCTCCAGACCCCTCCCCAGCTTTGTTGCCCTTCTCTGGACATGCTCCAGCCCTTCCAAGTCCTTCTTGGAGTGAGAGTTTCTAAGCTCAGGCTCTTGCAGCACACATGCCCAACGAACTGCAGAACAATCACTTACAAGAAGCCAAACAGCTCAATTCATCCTTATACATGACCCAGAAACAAAGCAGGAGTTGAACAAAACTGAAAAGGTGGCCAAACCAAAATGATAGTCTATCATTTTCTCCAGATCTTATCACCCCTCCACATCTTTGATGTCAATCACTCACAATGTTCTGAAAGATCAGACGCTTGCATGACCAACAGGAATATTTATTGAATCACAGAATGGTCTGGGTTGGAAGGGACCTTCAAAGATCATCTAGTCCAACACCCTTGCCATGGGCAGGGACATCTTTCACTAGACCAGGTTGCTCAAAGCCCCATTCAACCTAACTTTGAAGACTTCCAATGATGGGGCATCCACAGCTTCTCCGAGCAACCTGTGCCAGTGTCTCACCACCCCCATCGTAAAAATCTATTCAAAGCTAACACTAACGATATTGTCAGCCAACAGAGAGGCAGAGCAACCTGTAACTCATGTCTGCCTCCTGAGAAGCCCTGCAAGGCTCCTCCGAAGCATACAGCTGCATGCAGATCTGCCCTCACAGAGGAACCAGAGGTTTCCTGGCAGGACCCTCTGCAAGTGCACAATGTGTCACCTGACCAACTTCTGAGACCTCTTCTGACTACACCGCTGATGGCACCTCCCATCTTGCACAGAGCCAAACGAGCCGAGCTCACAACTGCCGAGGATCTGGGGGATGCCAACACTGACCAGCCGTGTGCGTATGAAAACCTGAAGCTTCCCCCTGCTCGTCCGCTCTCCAAGGATCCTGCCCTGCCGCGGTGTGGACAGGCGTGGGTGGTGGAGCTGGGCAGGTTCCTGTGGGCAATGGCCACACGGCCCCTCGTCCACTCGGCCTGCTACCACAGCATAAACTCTGCTCTCAGACTGGGTCCAGGGATTTACAGTGGTCATCATTCTTCTAGCTTTGTTTTATTCTCATGCCTGAACACTATCCCTCTCTCAAGGGCAGTAATACAGTGTCATAAGATTTTCCCTTTCCAACAGTGCTGTTTATGTAACTTAGAAGAGCAGTTGTCTTTGAAGTGGCCCAACACTGAAAATAACACAAGTAACTACAAACTCCTATCAGAAAATCTCCTTTTCTCAAAACCTGCTCCTGTTCTTACCACCTGCAAACTTTACATGCCAAGTTTCCTCCTGTTTTCACACTGTGACAAAACATTGTTTATCACCATTGAACATCAGTCTACTGATTTCTCTCTCAGTAGGTTTCTAAGAATAGTGCCAATTATGTCGATCCACCACCTAGAGCTGGATTTTCTACAAATCCAACAAATACAGAAGTACAACCCGCCCCTGGGAAGCAAACAGGATGGTTTGCTTTTGCTCAGACGATGGAGAAGGAACGTGACAGGGGAGAAACGGACATACTGAGAAATGCCGGGAATTTCCATTCAGCACAAGTCACGTGGAAATGCGTATTGTAGATGAAACAACACACTAAAACGAACTGGAACTCTGACGAGAGTCAAGGCAAGCTCTCTTCTCCAGCACTACTTCAGCTACATACTCTATGAGTCTTGAGTTTCATCCCAAAAAAGACTTTTGATGGCTCTGAGCCCCTATTCCTCACGGAAACGTCACTCAGAACTAACTGGAGGTAAAAGAGCCTCTTTAGATGCAATTTTGCTATGCACAGATTTAATTCAGACCACCCCATTCTGCAATAATGAATGGGCCTGGGGTTAATGTTGCTTCTGAAATTCGCTAATGCCCCTATCACCATCAAGGTCACATGTCCAAAATTGTCCTAAAATGTGCTGTAGAAATATCCACCTTACGTAAATTAAACATCCTTCAAAGGTTTTGATAACTTAATACCTAATTCTAATCATTGACCACTATAACTTCTACTTCTCTGAGAACTATGAAAATAAAGATTACTGGAGAAGTAATCATAGAATTATTGAAGTTGGAAAAGCCCTTTAAGATCATCAAGCCCAACTGTTATCCTAACCCTGCCATCCCACCAACTAAACCCTGGCCCTAAGCACCCCATCTGCACAGCTTTTAAATACACCCCGGGGTGGGGACTCGACCCCTCCCCTGGGCAGCCCCTTCCAGTGCTTGACAGCCCTTTCGGGGAAGGAATTTTTCCCAATGTCCAACCTAACCCTTTCTTGGCACAACTTGAGGCCGTTTCCCCTCGTCCCATCGTCCATTCCCTGGGAGCAGAGACCAACACCCCCTCACAACAACCTCCTTTCAGGCAGTTGTAGATTTGGAAGAAACCAAAACAAACTTTGGAACATACCGCTTTTCATAAATTAGGTTAATCCTCAAAAACAGACCCAAAACCGTGGAGTTTCTTCACTTACGGTCTTCTCAATTTTGAGTAGTGGATTTGTTCAGCTGCCTGTGAATGGTTATACTAAGTCCAGACTGTATCTGAATGCAGGATAGCCTTGGCTTTGGCTGAGCTGAAGTGGTAAGGGAAGCATTTGCTTATGTTTTGAGGGAATCTAAGCAGGATTGTATCCTAAATTATGCTGCTCTCAGAGAAGATAGACAGCCAAAATAGCTTTCTGATTGCAAATAAGTTAATCTTCTATCCTTAAGGATAGCAATCCTCATTTCAAATCACTGCAGCCATAAAATAGTGATAGTCTTGTTTTCAAATCCATTTTTAAAAGGATGCTGTTGTTTTAGCAACAGGCTGCTGTGGCCTTACTGAGGTAAGGGAGGACGCAATCCCTTGTGTCCTGCTACTCCACAACCACACGTCCCTTGGCTTTTAATAGACTGTCACACCAAAACAGACACAGTGAAGGAGCCGGGAAGCCTTGCCAAGCTTGCACTGGAGACCCACCTACACCATGGCCACAGAAAAATAATTCAGGCTCACAGCATGCATTTGTTTCTTGCTGCACTGGTAAACGTATGCTAGGTTAAGTATAGAACTATTTACGTGCTGCTATCCATCGCGAGGGTTAATCCAAGCACTTGGCTCTGCAATTAGGCTCTCATTACTCTTTGAGGCCTCTTTACCACAACCACAGCCAACCAGTCTTCACACAAGAAGAAACAGCTATCTAGCAGGTAACATACAGTTCGAAAGTATTCCTCCAGAGTTATATGCTGTATTACTATTTTTACTTCATCTAGGATATGTATGATTCCTTCAAGCATCTGAATCACCTCCTGTTGGAGAAATCAATCCTATTTTCTTCCTCAAATTTCCTCACTCCCATCCAAGCACACCACACCTCAACAACACCGCTAACCACGTTCATATTACACATAAGAAAACGCTCACTCTCCACACAGTAAGATTTTCAAACCAGCAGTATTTTAATGGAATTTCTTTCAAGGTTTCTGTCTACAAATTGATCCCTGCCAAAATGCATTCCACTTCGTTCAAATCTGCAACATCAACCCCTTGCTGTCAGAGCGCAAGCATGACTGTCACAGTGCAATGGTGACTGTTCTCTCTGGTGGGATGCTGAAGCCTCTCCGCTGTTTGTGGAGTCGCAATGGGCCAGGAACCAAGCCTATGCTCTGTTCCTTTACTCTAGTATAACCAGAAAAAAAGAAATATAACTGCAGGAAAATGAGTTGTGGCAGCAAACAGCAGGAAGATGCCCAAAGGATTTGCAATGAACCATGCAACCTTTTTACCTCTCCCTGGTAAAATTAAAACATGTCAACAAAAAGGCAGGGAAAACAGGGAGGAAGGGATGTCAGGAGGCCAGAGGGGTTGGGTCCATTCGGGAAAGGGAGTTGAATGTTTCAGGTGATCTCTTCCAGGACAACTCAAAGCAAAGCAAGTGCCAGCTCTCACCTGAGATGGAAAAAAA